ACACTGTTTAGCTGCTCTCAAGACCAGCAAGGTTTATTATATTCTTTATGCAGTGTCTAATACAACAACGACAACTACAAGTGGACCAAAACTCTCTGACTCTGCTCATTTTCTTCTTCTCAAGTGTATAGAATAATTCAGTGAATGTGGCAGTCCGAAAAAATCTCCAACCACCAGCTCCATGGTTCTGTAAGCTATGATTGTAGTGTCTAAGTCATGTGTGCACACAACCAGGACCCTGACAATGAAGCACCGAAATGGAACTCAGCAATCACTTAATTTATTATTTCCACCTTTGCTTTTCTAGCTGTGACAAGTCAAAATGTCTTGAGTGAGAAAGGCTTATTCATGCAGAAAGGCAAACTAGTGCATGAGCCAAGTGGCAGTTTAGGCTCAAGTGTGCCTTGTTATCAAAATACTTCAAATACATTTGTCAGAAAAGCATCATTGCTCATACACTGCATTAAAGAGTGAAGTCTAGTTCACAAACATCTGCTAACTCACGTTTATACAGTTTATATTGGATAATGAAGGAAGTATTAGGAGACATCTTTCCACTGTATAACTAAAGCATTAATTAAGGTCTATCACATACACGTGCACATGTAAACGCACATGTTTAATCCTATACTCACAAGACACAATAAGAAGCATCATCTAAGAGACATTTGCAAGACCCACCGACGTGTAAACAATATAGTAAGTCAACATAAATACTGCTACGAAGGTGACAGACCGTAAAAATGACATAGCTAGCCAGTTGTCGAGCTGTGTTTCTTATATACATCTGAGCTTACCTACAAGCGTCAAGCTTTGATAAGTAACACACAGATTCCCACAGAACAACCTTCGCAGCATTGTGAAGCACAGCAGCCCTGAACACCACCATGGACCCGGACGTTGCGTCAGACTTCACGTTGCTAGCAATTACCATAACAGTGCATGTGGACACGAGAAAGCGTATTGTCTCTCCATAATTCTAAACATCATCTGTCACTTCATAGATACAGCAAAGTTTGAGCTCATAGTTGGTAAATAGCCTGCGCCTAACTGCACTGACACGCTGCAGTCAAGTCCAGTTGCCAACTTCTAATCTCCGTTTACACATATCCTAAAACTACGAAAATATATTTTAACAAATTTAAAGCAGACATGCATGCTTCGTGAAGTTTTTTAGAGAATTTACCTTTACCAAACTGCTGTGAAATTTCACTCAGCTCAGCTCTTCCCCAAGGAATTTCATAACTGAAAATCACGCGAGAGCAGGACACTGACTGAAATTTCACGGGATCGGACGGAACCACGTTAACAAAATATATATATATTAATCCTATCCTTAAAAATATTCTGCATTAAAAGCGTGAAATAATTTTTCAGACTCATTCAAAAACATTCCAGTCGGTTAAGAGCTGTCATCCTCGATGAAAGAGTGTATAACTGTGTAATAGGAAGTACTTTACAGTACTTGGTTCCGCCCTCCCCGCCCGTGGAGCCTTCCAGAAGTCGCCGGCAGACCCGTGCGGCTTGAAGCTCAGCAACACTCCAGAGTTACATCGTTTAAACTCATTATTTTGTCTGTTGAACGCTTACTGCGTGTCCTAATCCTTCAGTCAACATGTCCAGTTTGGGGACACTAGCTTTTGATGAGTATGGAAGGCCTTTCATCATCATTAAAGACCAAGACAAGAAGACACGGTTAACGGGCATTGACGCATTGAAGGTACAATGGGCTAGCTAGCGAAGCACAACTGAGACATGCTTGTTAGCAGTTTGCTAATTTGAGATCAGTTGCATGAGGCGGACACGTTTAGCCAACACGATAGGCGTTAATACACATAGCTAAGATTTTTAAGCATACACCCAACGTGCATGCTAAGTTGTTTATGCAGTAGCATCAGGATAGCCTTCGCTAAAGGATTAGCTAGTCATGCTAACACAGAGGCCCATGTGCTTTCTGTAATGCGCTCAGCCGGTGGGTGTTGCTACGCAGGGCTGTGCCCAAAATGGTCACTGGGGATGCGCATCACTTCCATTCTCAAGTTGAAAATGTTTCTCGCAATTGGCAGCTTCTATGTGTCTTAGGAATGAAGATCAAGAGTGAAATCTTAGCTGACATGGGACTGTTTGTGTTTTGCAGTCTCATATCATGGCAGCCAAGGCAGTCGCGTCAACGCTGAAAACATCTTTGGGCCCAAATGGTGAGCATGTCTGATTTCATGTTATTAGATATTTAGGTATTCATTGAAGTTGGATGGGGAGCTTCTCCGGAGTGATTTATATTGACCTATTTTATTTACATTTGGAATTCGCCCATATATACTGGGGAGCAGCGTACGTTAGCATTTGTGTCCTGAAACATTTTTTTTCTGTTTTTGTGTTCAGGTCTGGACAAGATGATGGTTGACAGGGATGGAGAGGTAACTGTCACCAACGATGGAGCCACTATTCTCAGCATGATGGATGTGGATCACCAGATTGCCAAGCTGATGGTGGAGCTGTCAAAGTCCCAGGATGATGAGATTGGTGATGGAACCACTGGAGTTGTTGGTACGAGAAGGAAATTTAGGGGGTTTCTTTGAAAGGCTGTAAACCTGGATTTGTACGATTTTGCAGATGTTTTCTGATGGCCACAGTGTAGATGTCTGAATTAGATAAGTAAATATATTTTTCTGTATTGGGTTTGTCCTGTTGATTATCATAAAATCGTGCAGCCCTGTATGGCTGTTATTTACACTCCAACTTTGAGATATTGTGATAATTGTGACATCCTGCTATATAGCCTGAAACATGCCCTAGCTGTATCAAACAAAACCAAAGAAATACACTACATGATGCCCAAGTATCATACTAAACATCACTGAAATCTTTGCAGCTCTAATCAAGACAACCTAGCATTTTCCAACATGTTTCACTTATAATTGATCAGTTGTTTTGTTGTTCCTCTGCTTCCTCAGTGCTGGCTGGGGCTCTGCTTGAGCAGGCTGAGCAGCTGCTGGACCGCGGGATCCACCCCATCAGGATCTCTGATGGTTATGACCAAGCCGCACGCATTGCCATCGAGCAGCTGGACAAAATTGCAGAAACCTTCCCCTGTGATCCCAACAACACAGAACCCCTCATTCAGACAGCCATGACAACGCTGGGCTCCAAAGTGTAAGTCTTCTTGACCTAATCCTGTTTTGGTGTTTTTATTGTGTAGCTGTAATACAGTTAACAGGAAATACTGTAAATAAGATTGATTTTAACTACTTGACTGTATTTCTATGTGCTTTTTGAATCTGCTTTTGCTTTAGGAAAGCTATTATGTTATTAACTTGTCTCAGTAAATTTGTTTTCACTCATAAGCTATAATTCTTATGTTTAGATTGTGGGGTTTGCCAGTTACATAGTAGAATGTTTCATGTGTGACATGATGTCAGATCTGGCATTGTACTAAAACGTTTAAAACACTGTTGTCTTTCAGTATCAACCGGTGCCACAGACAGATGGCAGAGATCGCAGTGAATGCCATCCTCACTGTGGCCGATATGGAGAGGAAGGATGTAGACTTTGAGCTCATCAAGATGGAGGGCAAGGTGGGAGGAAAGCTGGAGGACACGCAGCTCATCAAGGGAGTCATCGTTGACAAGGAGTTCAGCCACCCTCAGATGCCCAAGGTATGATCAAAAGGAAATTCTCAGAAGATGTCATTGGCTGTCATAGACATACCGTATGTCTTTGATCATATAATAAATGTGTGTCTGACCACAAAAATGTGTTTTAGTAGTCTTTGAAGGATAGAATTAAAGGATTGTCTAAGTTAGTGCTGCACTGCAAGTGAGGTAAATAAGTTAGTGAAGTTGGTGCATTATCTGTAGCTCATATGCTATGATTAACACTGTCACTTGAGTGTTACTGGTACAATAATTGGTCTAACAAAATTCCTTTGTTTCCATTCAGATTCTGAAAGATGCCAAGATCGCTATCCTTACCTGCCCATTTGAACCTCCCAAGCCCAAAACCAAGCATAAGTTGGATGTCACCTCAGTGGAGGACTACAAAGCTCTCCAGAAATATGAAAAAGAGAAGTTTGAGGAAATGATCCAACAGGTGAGTACCCCCCAGAATCTGTTAGTTACTGAGATTTACTCATTATTTAACTATTGTTGGATTGTCCTAAATACAGCTACTACATAAACGAATTAACACATATGTGGTTTTAAAAGAAGTGTATATTTTTTATTTTAGGTCAAAAGCAATGGTGCTAACTTGGCAATCTGCCAGTGGGGCTTTGATGATGAAGCCAATCACCTCCTGCTGCAGAACGAGCTGCCTGCTGTGCGCTGGGTTGGAGGGCCAGAGATTGAGGTGAGCAACGTTTGTGATGAAACATCTTGATGTAAAGTTACTCTGAAACAAAATGTTTCACATTCTTCATTGATTTGATCAGTCATGTATTCAGTTTATTGCTTCATGGTGCTGATGAGCAGACAGTGTGAAGTAGGACTGTATCTAAGTATCCAACCCAATTCTGATTTCTGTGCAGTTGATAGCAATTGCCACAGGAGGTCGCATTGTGCCAAGGTTCTGTGAGCTGACGCCAGAGAAGCTTGGCACAGCCGGCGTGGTGAAGGAGATGTCGTTCGGCACGACCAAGGATCACATGTTGGTTATCCAGGAGTGCAAAAACACCAGGGCTGTTACCATTTTCATTCGTGGAGGCAACAAAATGGTGAGCACAGGACCCTTAAACACTCTAAATGTCTGTTTGTTTATTTAGATTTCTTCTTGTTTGACTCATTCTTTACATTGTCCTTAACAGATCATTGAAGAGGCCAAGCGTGCTCTCCATGATGCTCTGTGCGTAATTCGCAATTTGGTCAGAGACAACCGTGTTGTGTATGGAGGTGGCGCTTCAGAGATTGCGTGTGCCCTGGCTGTCAACCAGGCTGCAGATAAGGTATGAGTAATTAACAACATATAATTGAGTAAACAAAGACTTTGGAGCCTTAGCATTAGAGTAAACACAATAATGTTCCTGTTAACTGCTTAAATTTTCTGAACCTCTGCCCCTTTCCTTTTTTTAGTGCCCTTCATTGGAACAGTATGCCATGAGGTCCTTTGCTGATGCTCTGGAGGTAATCCCAATGGCACTGGCTGAGAACAGTGGACTGAACCCTATCCAGACCATGACAGAGGTCAGAGCCAGACAAGTCAGAGAGACCAACCCCTTCCTTGGCATTGACTGCTTGCACAACAACACCAATGGTAAGGAGTCTGTTGCATTTTACATAGTATGATGCAGTGTTCTGAGATGAGCTCCATATGACTTACACTACGGTACACTAATATTATTCATTCAGTTGCATACCACACTTTCAGATAATACCTACACTGCACTTGAGTGTCAAAGCAAGATGATATCCTGAATGTTTTTGTTTTATTTTTCTCCTGTACAGACATGAAGCAGCAGCATGTGATCGAGACCCTGATTGGCAAGAAGCAGCAGATCTTGCTCTCTACTCAGGTCGTCAAGATGATCCTGAAGATAGATGACATCCGAAGCCCAGGAGAGACTGAGGACTGAAGCCCTCCTGAACCGAAGAAAGCTTGGGCGTGCTCTAAAACGCTTAAGAATACCTAAGCCGTTTTAGAGGTTTTCAGCACTTCCCCGAGCAACATGTCCAAACCGCACTGCATATTGCTATTTATGATTTGATACAAAAAAGTTCACCCTGTTGTGGTATCAAAGTCACCATTAAAGCGTTGGTCCGTTTGAAAGTTCCACAGTCTTCACTCGTAATTTCTTAAAAGTTGTTTATTAGATATTAGGTGTCCCTATTATGTCTTCATTTAGTTATTAGTATTAAAAAATGTTTGCAAGCACAATGCATAAGTGCACTTTTACTACATTCTGTTGTCATTCAATGTTCATCGTCTTCAATTCAGACATGATACTGCATTCATATATTCTGCATAAGGCACAAGTGCTAAATATTTTTGGCGCAACAATTTAAATTCACAGTATAATGAAAATAAAATCACAATTCCTCAATACCAAAGATACAATCAAAATCCAGGCTTGAAGAGTAAAATGTAAAACTTCTGGAAAGGTTCTGGAACGCCCTCAAATCAACAAAAAAAACATGCAGCAGCCACCGCCTTTACTACACAGCAGCTACATTTTTCATTTCAATTTTGATTAATGATTAAAGGCACTGTTTGCTTTTCTGATAATCGTGCAAACAATTCTGTATCGCTTCTGATACTCTTATTTACATGTATTTGTTAAGCCAGTTGAGCATGTCTGTTCTGGCCTCCTGGATGGCGGGTTTATCTGCAGGGTTGATGTCCTCTCTCTTGCGGTGGACAAACCCATGAGTCTGACCAGGAAATATCTTCACCTGGTAGTCAAGTTTGCATTTCTCCTTTAGATTTGCTTGGAGGGTACTGACCTGAAAAACAAAAGGACGTCAGCGTAAGTCAATGTATGGCACCAAAAAAAGGCATGTTTTAATAGTTTTATTGCCTGTAAGTGGCTATAAGAGCCGGAAAGGTTGTAGTAGTTGGTGGTGAAGATGAAAGAAATACAATACTGTACAAATATCTACAAAAGCTATGAAGCACATCCACACTAACCTGGTCGGCAGGCACATACTCATCATTCTCCGCAAAGATGAACAGTGTAGGACTCTTCAGGTCATACTTGTCCTCAGTGTCCCGAATTATTCCTGCACAGTATCACATAAAATCCGTCTCAAATCCAATCTACGGAAACCACACTGCATGTTTTGCTGCGAGAAACTCATACCATAAAGAGACACTCCAGCTTTGAGTTCTGGATATCGTAAGGCCAAGTGATGCGTGGCAACCCCTCCCCAGCAAAAGCCCACAACTCCGATGCGTTTGGCCCTGCACTGCTCCTTCAGGAACCGCAGCACTGCATCCACCTCTCTGGGAAGGAGAAGTTTATTAGTATCCACCAGAAATCAGAAATCCACACAACAATGAAAGATGAACAACCAAAATTGACTCACTTGTTGATTTCTGTTGGCATTTTGTCTTTGAGCCACTCCATAAAATTGGCCCAATCATTGGATGGATTCCACGGCGCCTTCCCGACATACAAGTCTGGACAAACAGCACTGCTCAGAGCAAAACAATAGCAGGGAACAGAACAGTTGTGGGTCAGAAATTGAACACAAACACTTCATAAGCAAATATAATGACCTCAATCCACTGTTATATACAGTATAGGATTCAACACACATGTATCCGTTGGCAGCCAGCATATCAGCCATGTATCTAGTGTTGGGAAGCTGCCACCCAAAGATGTCATGAATGACAATGATGGCCTTATCAGATGGAGTGGAGGGTTTCACTACATAGGCGTTAATGTGCTCTATCTGGACCTCCTGACCGAGTCCTCCATACTCCATCCGGTCACCAATATCACAGGGGCACGGCTTGGCTTCGTTTGCCATCTGATGACAGACAGGAACAGACAGACAAGATAGGAAGTCAGATGGGAAAAGGGGGGCAGCAGTTTATCCATCCGTCCTTCTGTGCATAGACCTGGGAGTCACTTCTCTACATGCATTTGCGCAACACAATGACAAAGCATTTCGCAAACAATCTCTTCCAGTAATTCATCGTAAAGCCCGCAGATTAAAGATTTTTATCATGACATTAGACGTGCATTTAAAATCCGCTCGCACAGATCAAAGACATACCTTTTTGGTGTCCGATATTCCGCGAAACAATCAGGTGCTCAAGTGAACGAAAAGTTTCAGTCGGTCACTTCAGTCGATATTTATTAAGCTGAAATGTCAAGTAGCAAAGATAAAGAATTAAATTCCTGTCTGGACTTCTAAAATAAAAGCAAATTTATACATTTAAATCAAATGACTACAATTATGGCTTTGGTCATAAAAGCATGTGGTTTAAAAAAAAATCACAAACAAAACAAAATAGATTTTAAGCCACATTAACATCAAACGTGTACATAGTGTGCACTGACTGCTTGATTGCTTGATATTGAGAATAATGCAAAAATGAGAGCTTCATTATAGTTTTGGGGGCCTAAGCATTTTATTAAATTCATTTTTAACTCTTAACACGTTATTTTTCTCAATGCAATTATGCTTTTTAATTTGACTTTTAATTTGAATATCATTTTTGCCCGACCTTTCCCTCTGAACTTCTGAAATGCACACTTTCCGGCACTACTTAATATTTGTGACTTGCTTGATGGATGACTTTTGGCACCGTTTAGCTAGTTAAACATTAATAGGTTAAAATCAACGAGGTGTTTGCATGACTTTTAACTTTTTCTTTCCGCAGTCTTCCAAAAGGCACCGCTGGGATTCGAACCCAGGATCTCCTGTTTACTAGACAGGCGCTTTAACCAACTAAGCCACGGCGCCACTGTGTCGCAAGAAATTTAGAACCGTAGCAATTGGTGCGCAGTTAGTTCATCGCAAAGACGTCACAGTTAATTTGATTACTTTAGTTTTCAGACGATTATCACCACTGCTTGTAATCTCTTAAGGCCCCTATAACCTACTTATTGTATCAAATCTATACGTTATTTCAAAGGTATTTGAGAAAAAGGTAAAATGTAAAATAGCATTTAATGCAAATAAACAAAAATTTAAAAAAAACGAATAATTAAAAGGAAAATAAAGTTCAAAACTGAAAATTGAAAGTGAAGTTTTCGTAGTGATAAGTTGGCATAGTAGGTGATTAGACACAGTGGTAACATAAATTAAAATGGATAGCCCGCAAGTTGGGATTCAGCAATTACACTTAACATTCAACTCAACTGTGGTAGTGTTTTAAGCATTAACTGCACGTTACATGAAAAAGTGTTGGTTATGGTAATATCCAACAGATGTCGCTGTTTAATATGGAATGATATTTGACACTTGCTTTCGAGGAATGTAATGGCGTAAAATCGAAAAAATAAAGAGTAGTTTCTATAGTGCACATACGTAGCTTTTAGTTGTGTTAGGAAGTGAGGTATTGGCTTACCACAAAGCTCTATTTAGAAATTATCGACTTGCCCTTCACTGATCACGTGACGGTTGCTGTGGAAGTTTCCCTGACGTAAAACTCGAGCCGCCGCCGTAAAGTCAGACTGTTGTGACAGGAGCTAGCAGTGACGTTGGCGCATGCGTTAGCGGGGTTTAGCTAGCCATTTGTCTCCCAGCTTTAAACTGTCGTTTCAGCAACACAGAGGATGTAACGTCTTTCCAGTTTATTGTCTTGCATTAAAAATTACACCGTGAAATAAAAGCATTTTGTGTATCGGCGAACACAAACTGAGAGTGAGAGGACACAACGAGGGAAACGCTTTGGCGTTAATCTGTGGGGAAACCATTTTATGATTGCCAATGCATCCGAGCCATAAGGATACAGTCGTCTCGCTAGCTTAACTTAGCTAGCTAAACGATACTGTCCGTGTCGTGGATGGGTTCGCTGTACAAGGTGCAAGAAACGCTGACCGGTGCTTAGCGAACAACATGGATACTGCCGAGGAAGGTAAATAATTAAAGAAGTCACTTGTCGTTGTTTTCCCAACGGTGACTTACTGGCGTTAGCTTCGTAAGTGCATCACTGCGACCGAACCGCTGCTGAGCTGGCCTGCTAATGGTTAACGTAGCCGAATAGCCTAGCTTTATTGAGACTGTCATCGTCGTGAGAGTTTAATTAAGGAGTGGGATGGAAGGGCAACAGCTGCTAAATGTTGTTTTATTGTAGCCGGGCCTAACATTAGGGCACAACTTAAGAAAAAGCATAGAAAGGACCAGAAGTTACTGGTGATGTCATCGAAGTTTCTCGTAGAACTCACTTAAATTCGTGTATGCTGCTCATCTGAGTGTAAGAAAAAAACAGGTGTGCCAAAAAGTGATCGTCTGCCAAAACAACTGATTGTCATTCATGGTAGCAATTATCCACATATTTTTGCATTGTTGTACCTTCTCGGTGCGATGTATGCCATCCAATTGTTCTACCCGGTGAAAACATGTTTGAAAGACCAGTTCAACTCATGGAATGCAGTTTTTCACTAGTCAACAAGTGATTGCAGCCCGTAGGATATTTGAAAATACTAAATTCTTTATTTTATAGCGAAAGCTCAACCGTAAATCATGTCAGTTACAGTTTAGGCAATAATGTGTTTACATACCAAACACATACCACTTATAACATTCATGTCAATAGTACAGTGTTGCCTTTAGTCGTCCTAAATGTCAGGCATGGTAACGCTATGAACTGCAAGCCTTTTTTTGGTCACAAGTATTTAGTTTCAAGAAATGTTATGTAAAGACACGCTTTTGCTATCAAAACAAACATTAATTCCTGTGTATCTGCCTGTTGTGACTGTTTGAGACAGATAAAACCAGAGACATATAAACTGGCCAATACAGCTTCAACAAGGGCACAATCAGTTTTTGGCAGATGATCGCTTTCTGGCTTTATGCTTCTTGATTACATTCCTCCTCGCTAAATATATGTCTCCATTAACACCACAGCCCCTGTCACAATCTGCACATCTGCATTTTGCTTGGTTTTGGCAATGGGTATCATATACTCACTTATATGTCATGTGCTTCTTCGTTTGTGTGTCCAGCGGATATTTGTCGTGTGTGCCGCTCTGAGGGGACCCCGGACAAACCCCTGTATCACCCCTGTGTCTGCACTGGCAGTATCAAGTTTATCCACCAGGAATGGTAAGTGTATTTGCCTTGCTCTTCCCTTTACCCCATGACAGCTGTCATTATTGTGACCCTGTAAAGTCGCATTTCTCCTCACATTCCATGCCAATCTGTCCTTTTTTATTAAACATTTACATGTGCTAAAAGAACAGATCCTGATCTGAGTTACTACGCTCAGGACATCATGTTAACTTGTTGCATTAGTTAGCAGTAATCTTGCTCACATTTTCTCAAAAAAATGAATCCAATTACACCGTGATTTTCAAGCCTTCTAGTTGTTAAAAAGTGATAGTGAAATTTTCATTCAACCTCGTGTACATGCATGTATTGGAGTAGATTATCACTAACAAAAGGCAATTTGTTGTTTCCCATACTTATTTATTTATTTTCAATGTGGTTATTCATATCCTGGTTCAATACAAATGAGCATAACAGAGTGAGAGTACTTGGTTTTATTAAAAAAGGAAAAAAAAGTGTGCCTAGAGTTATCTTAGTCACAGTCTTTAAAAAAAAAAAAAACCTTTCCATGGCTTGTTTATAATAAGATTGCTGTACAAAGATTGTTATAATCAGATTATTATAATCAGATTATTACAATATAGTGTAAATACTGTTGCTTGATGAGTTTCGTTACTTAAAGGTTTTCTCCAAGAATCAGATAAGTCTGAGCAATGGGTGTGCACTTGGATACTTCCTATAGTGGTGACTTGATAGCTAATGTAACACAAGAGTCATGAAAAGGACGCATGACAGGCTTGACCTCCATCACATCCAGGTTTCCTGGTGTCCCATATTACAGACCTTAGGTGTGGTATTTGCCCTTTGAAAATAACACCAGTCAGTGCAGGTATTTTTGAGATTGTGCTGTGTTCTCATCTGTCCTGTGTGTGAGTGTCACTGGTTACAAGAGTGTCATGTGGATGGAAATTCACATGCAGAAGCAAAAGCTAGATCTGGACTGTTCTGTGGTGACTGAAGTTTAGACAGCTCTGTTTGAATGGTGTAGTTGTGCTGAATGTATGCACACATAGCAGCAAAACTTAGATTGCTACATTTAAAAAAAAAAGCCTGAAACTTTATTCAGTATTCAGGTCACAGCTGGAATTGTGAGTTGTTTGGCTTGAATTTACATTTACAATCATGGTCTGTGTAAGGCTAATGACAAGGTTCTTTAATGGTGTTGTATTGTTGGTATCAGGTGGTGCAGTGACTCCCTTACATAACCTTGCTGTTAATGATCTGGGATGGTGTAGTTATGATCAACATACATACAAGTACAAATCAGCCCAGAAATAGCTGATACACCGGTTTTTGTCAGTTGTTAATAAGAGTGTGCTTCTACCATAACTGAAGTATGATAATTGCCCACAGTCTGGAGAGGTAATCAAAGCCAAGCGTACGTCTTCAGCACGTCACGCTATTGTGTGGGCACGGCAGAGGCATCCATGAAAAGTTTATGTTGGGTCAAAGCTTTCAATTTTAGTCTGACCTAAACCTAACAATAACAAAGTCTGCATACATTTGAATCAGCAGCACAAGAATTGTTTCTCGTGAGAGTATTTAGTTTAGTTTAATTTATTTTAGTTTAATTAATCTGAAATCCTTAAACTCAACAAAGGGCTGATACAGTCATTTGAAATGTATGACCCAACTTTGATATTCCCAATATGGTCACACATGCTCAGATGGCAAATACGTTTAGTATATAGGTATGAGTTTTAAAGGGGCAATTTGAATGAGTCGGTCTCTGCAGTAGCTACTTTTTGCAAACAATAAGAATTTTCAGTTGTTAAATATCTTTCTGTAAATGTACACATGTAAAATTACATACCAGTGTGATAAGTCTGTCTGTGTGAGAAACTGATCTGAGCATTTTTCACATGATTAAAACATACAAATACTCAGTTAGCACATGTATTACGTTACTGAATCCTTATTTAATTTTTACCTTTTCAATGTATTCTTCACAGTTTGGTCCAATGGCTGAAGCACAGCAGGAAGGAGTACTGTGAATTATGCAAGCACAGATTTGCTTTCACACCAAGTAAGTCGTAGTGGCATTGATGGATCATCCACTTTGATGTTGCACAGCCTAAAGTTTTT